TAGGAATAATGTATTTTTCTAAATAGAGGTAACCTCCCTAAGTCATTCAAGCGCAAACTCGTCGAGATGTGTGCATCCTACCCATCCTAACCTACGGCGCACAGACGTGGTTCCAGACATGGTACACTGACCGAGTTCCAGAAAAAACATATTGACAAAGTTCGCAATATAATGCTGCATTCGATGACTGGCATTGCTGATACGGGAGCAAAATATATAGGCTAAAATGGAATTAGGCGGGCTACGTTAGCCGGGTGCAACCCGAGAAACGGGCGAACATCGTCACTCCTTGGGTGCCCGAGGATGGAAGGGGATGGTGGGGACGGCTGAGAAGGCGTTGGCGGTACGATCTTGAAAAGTTTGAGAGGGTGTGGTGGGAAATCGAAGACGGAGTAGTGGAGGATTTTGGGGTAGACCTTTGCCCAGCAGTAGGACACAATAGCTTAATAAAAAAATGCTAAAGGCGAAGGTCAAATACGACCACCCTATAATGAGGGTGCTATTAGACGTATATAATTAATTATAAGAATGTAGAATAAAAATGTATAATAAAAATAATTTTTGACTATCGTTTTATATTTCTATTTTCTTCATTATACTGTTATATTCCTACCCTGATTAGACACTTCATAGTTCCTTATAGTAGTTTTTGAAGAATAGATAACAAAAACTGTGATAGGCTTTTGTTTATACATGAACATATATATCATTACCTAACTCTATGCGCTAAAGCAAATGTGAAAAGGCAATATGATATGTTAGCCATTGATAAGGAAAACAAAATGTATAAAGAATTTACTTACCTAAATAATAAATGCAAAATTATGAGATAAGTTATTTTTGAGTAGGGACTGGGTTAATTTTTTATGGGCTGTACCCCTTCCTTTGAATGCGATATTTTCGTTATAATGTACACTGGTCGTTTACGTGATCATTAGAATCATATTGTCAGGGTCTGAATCACTTCACATATTATTACATTTTGATGTACACGGAGGACGAAGGAGGAGATGTAGGTTAAATATGAGTAGTATAAATTACAAAAAAAAAAAAATACAAAGTTTCAAATATCACTGTGAAGCATGAAATTAATTCAACTATGATTATGGTACAGAAGAATAAATTGAAATTGAAATACCTACACAAGCAAGCACATAAAAGTAACGGCCGAAAACAGGATGAGCCTGAAGATCAAAGGTCTTCTAAAAAGTTCCTTCACTTCAAAGAGGGCGTTAGTCACTTTCTTCTTTATACCGACTTTGATTGTCTCTTTGTATATGCCAGTGATGTTCAATGATGTTATCTATATTTTTTTATAATACAGAACAATGCACACGTTTTAGTAAAATCACACAAGCAAGTATATAAATAAACGTAGGATCAAGAAACCAAATAAAAGAATAAATATTGCCAGTGACAAGAAAGCTAGGAGTTCTCCCTTTATGTGGACATGATAAAACGTTACGCAGAGTAGCTGCCAACCATCAGGTCTCCCATTCGATTTACCTTTTTAATCTGATTATGTATAAATAAAGGTGCGCATAAATAGTCGAAGGCGGGGTCCCAGTTTCTTTTGGTGCTTTGGAGGTGAGACTGGGTATTATATCGATCCACGGGTCGTTTTCTCTAATACCCGTTCCATAACCCAGGGTATCAGGGTATCAGTCGGTTTACAAGTTGACTTGCAATATACTAGTCTGGAACAGTAGGCAAGTTTACTATAGCTAATATCCGACGGTTGATAAGGGCCTGGGTTCTGATGTTCTGTCCTTGGAGTCACCAGCGACGTAAGATGCAACAGAAAAGATGACAAAATAGACCCTATTGGCCCAGTGTAATATCGCAAATTTTACCAACAGTTTCATTTTACTGAATGTCATAATCAATGAAACTCACCGGAAAGGATTCCCCATCATTGCCAGTATTTTTATGATAAACATATTTTAAAACATCTAAAGCCTTGTTCTCTTGATTATGTGACAAAAGAAATTTCGGGCTTTCCGGCATTTGGCTATACATCAAAGCTGCAAACAAGCTCCATAACGCGTTTACGTAAAGGTAAATATTCCATGGATGAATTTCTGAAACAATACAGAATTAGTGCGAATGTTTACATGTACAAGGTAGCTTTGTTTCGAAGATCTACTAAATATAATTTTGTGTTCTGTAGTTTGTAGGTCGCAATGGGTTTTTTTTTTCTAAATCTACAATCTATTATCTAAATATTGTACGGAATAGGGGAACCTTTTAAATAGTATGAGAGGTGAAGGGCCGCTGTAGGTCTAAAAACACGATCACAGCAAGGCGTTGAAATGGAGCCCTCGACGTCGCGTCCCGCCACCTCGGAGCCTGCACTGTCTGGAGTTGTTGTGCGCGGAGTGATTCAATATCTTCGTGAGACCCTAAAGAAGCTACATCGGACCTCACGTCGTCCTTTCCATACTTTGACTTGGCCTCTTTAGACTTTCATCTCTTCACCAAAATAAAGGAGACATGACCCAGAGAATGTTTCACAACGGGACGAGAAAGTGAAAAGGCAGTCACTAACCCGACCAAGGAGATGGCCGGAAACTTCTACGAGGAGCGAATTTGAAAACTTATTTCTTGGTACATTGAGGCTGAGGTACGAGTGAGGACTTAGTGGATTAAGACTATGTGGAAAAATAATACATACGAACTTTACTTAAAATCAATCGATAAATGCGTTCACGGATTTTTTAATAGCTTATCTCGGCCTGAAATCGAACCAATGAATAGCGCAAAAAATAAACAAACACTTTATCGTACTAATCAATAGGATCAATATTATGGATAAAATCACTCCAATAAACATTGGGTCAATAAAATAGTGAGTGTATATCTTTTGTATTTTTAGTTCATTCGATTTCAGGATCAGACAAGCTTTTAAAAAATCACATTATTAAGAAAAACAATAAAAAGGTTCCTTTGTGTAAAATTAGCTGTCTCAAAAGCTTAAGGTAGTTCCCCTTCATGTCCGAGTGATATTTTCCACCCTGTATATACTTATAAATGAAAAAATATGACAATGTCGCTGGATTACACTTTTGCGTAGTTGTAATACATTCGCAAAGAGACAATAATGTTGCAATGAATTTGATAATTACGCTGTTACACGATAAGGCAATTCATTCGCTGAAACCAAATGTTGATTTTAAGCTAAATTAAATATGAATCTAAAAATGAAATATCTGCTCTTAGAGAGCCGACGATTTCAACTTAATAACTAGTTAGCAGGGTTCGATATTGTCAAGATATTTATTTTCTTTGATAATCATGTTGATAATTATCCGATAATTATCGACGTTGATTCATAGTCTGATCACTTTTATTTTTGACTAAAAATAACAAACAGAGTGAAAATTAAATAAACACGAAGAAAAATCTTGGTGAGAATGTTTTGGTTTGTAGCATTATTTGAGATTGACATTTGGCACGGCTGGATACATCTCTGATACAAACCATGGCACGATATCAACATCATCATCATCAATGATAATTATCACTTCGATCACTTCCTGCTACTTAGCTTAAGATATGATAAATATTTTGGAGTTCTAGTGTATTTATAAAAATACGCACAGCTGACGTACATTGAAATTTTAAATAGTAGAGTATAATTAAATTGATGAAATTGTGTCAACGCCCTAGAGTGCCATAAATGCAGGCAATGACAATATTCCCCCTTATCTCCCAATCCGACTCCCACACACTATGCGTCCCAGTTGGATACATATAAGAATATAATTTTGTTGAAAGAACCTTATTCTGAAACTTATGAATAATGTTATACCAATGAAACTAAATTATACATTAACACCAAGCGCGCATTTAATAAAAAGGAATGGAGAAAGATATTGGGCATAAACACATCACGCCATTTTCCCGTTGGGGTAGAACAAGACCACAGTCTTTCATTTTGCTACGACAACACTCATCTTTCACCTTACATGCAATAATATTGTATATCATCTAGAGGGCTATTTTTAAAAGACTGACATTCTCGCAGTATATTACTTTAAGAGTGACCTAAATGGTAATAACTCTGTGCGGTAACAAAAGACAGTAGCAGTAGAGCTCCTTGTCAAAGATTTCATCCAGGGTAGTACTGCCACCTTACCTATTTCTGCCGCCAAATAGTATTATCAGCATTACTGTGGTTTTGAAGGGTATGGGTGCTGGTGAAATTACAGGCAGACTTGTCAACTTATGTCGCTGGGTGACGGATGCAGTAGTACGTAGTGCCCCGTCAGATCTTTGCAATTTAAAGCTCTGAGTGGCACTGTAACTGTTAAGGACAGGCGTGTAGCTTACCATCAGGCGCACGACTTGTTGTCCCGTCACTTGATGTTGTTAGAAAAAAAAAATAAAAGAAAGCACCCACCACCAAAATTATTTATATGAACGACAGTACGCGAGAAGCGTTGCATAATACAAATCTTAAAACTGTCAGATAGCAGAACAAAAATTTCAGTGCCTCCAATAAAATAGGGAATAACTCAAAATCGACACTTTTCAAGAGAGGCAACCATACTTTTATTGATTATTGGTTGTTCGCTTTCGGTTGTTTTCGCTTTTCGTTCGGTTGTTGTTATGATTTCTAGCTTTAGGTGTACATCTAAGCTTTCGTTTAATGGGTATTGGTTAAACATTCAGTTACATTTTCTATATATTTTTTAAGATTTTTTCGAGTTGCGTCCTTATATATGAGTCTTTAAAGTTAGTAACACGACTTATGTTAACAAACTTTAAGATATAATTCGTCTTATTCCCTTAACTGCGACTATTCCATAGTTATAACAATACTTATGATACTAACCGCATTGATAAAAGACTTAAAATCGTTAAAGGAATAAAACGACTATTAACCAATAGCAACACCAAGTGGAACAAATGAATTGCTCAGTTATATCTTTATGTACACTGTGGAATAAAGCAATAGTCGCTTTTGGTCCTACATTTTTTCCCAGTCATTATGGAACAATACGAAAAGTGTCTTTATGTAAAAATATATCTGTGCTTATTCGGTAGACTTGCATGTATTTTTTGAGTTACAGGCACATGTACCTTTATACTCATAAAAAATGCCCGATAACTAAAATTATGCCTTTGAAAACAGTGAGTTATGCCCTTAGTACAATAAGAAAAACGACGTTAGGAGACTTCCTAACGTCGTTTTTCTTATTGTGCTAAGGGAGATGTCATTATGATATGTAAACGGACACGCTGAAACCAATACGCTTGTGCAATAAAGACAAAAGGACATAATTCGTCTTATTCCCTTTTTCACTGGAGGCACTGATTTAAAAGTTTGTTTTTGGTAAATTTATTAAGTTTTGTAAGAAATGATAGAACAAAAGTCTTGCGAGGCTGTTAATATTTTACGAATAATTCTGTATGATTATTTACCGAAATATCCATCGATCAGTACGAAGTCCAGTTTTTGTGGTAATATAGCCCAGGCGACAAGAGCTGCCGTTATTATAGCTACAGACATAAAAGACGAATACATTACAAGTATCCGATCTCTCACATCCCGATGGACGAATTCCGTTAAGAAGGTTGCTGTTGCTGTGAACACTATGCTCATCCTGAAAATGACAATGTGGTAACTATATTGAATGTTTGTTATGATTATGAATACAAAGATCGAACATTTAGAAAAAAATTCCTTCGATCTGGCCGGATTCGAACCGATGTCTTCTAGCATACCGTGTCAGAAGCTATACCAACTAAGGCACGGAACGAACCAGCGGACCTCACGAATTGTTCTATGTGATTGTTGTCGTATTTTTGTATTTGGTTTTTCAACGACTTTTTAGTTGTAGCGCTAAATCAAATTGTTTAGGTATTTACTATTATTATTTATTATAATATTTTGTTTTGATTTCAACGAATTGGTGCATTATATTTACTTATTTACGTATTTTTTGTGTATGATATTTTTTCACACTGTTCAGTGCTTGTCCATAATTTGCAAGCAAATATTTAGCTCGTACTTTAGTAGGCGAAAGTTAATTTTTACTCATAAATTTGTTATTTGTTTTTTATTTAAAACAAATAAAGTGTCAGGATCAAGATAAGTACCATTTAAGTAACCACATCAAATTTGGTAGTAAGCAAGTTTGGTTTGCCCGAGAAAAATATGTCAAAAAAATAACCACCAGAGTCTCACTGTAATCCAGTTTTTGTATTACCTATGACAATAAGCAATATTCTAGGACTTTCAAGCTACACTTCAAGATACGTGTTACAGTATGTGCTATTTTCAAAGTTCCACGTGTTACGTTATCGCCTAAAAACTTACACAAAAACACCATATTTAAGCGATTTTGGGCGCCTCATCGCCTTAATACGCTTCTCTAATAAGATTCCGGTTGAAATTTTCAATATTTTATACTAAAGGTTAATTATTATGGAGCCTCAGTGTACTTCCATGACAAAAATCCGTGGTAGTGACACATTTAGTCCTTGGTAATTTTCTAAGTAGTACGTATGTTTGAAATAAATGTGTACAAATGTATATTTAACAAGAACAACCCCTAGAGATTCTTGCTCATTCTTCTCAGAGGAATCTGCCTTACGAATGAGCAGTACAGTTTAATCAAATAATTTTTAATAAAAAAATAAAATATGAAATAAAGATTACTTATTTGACTTACAATAGGAGAGATGAAATAAAATATTCGAAAGTTAGTAATGCAGTTACAGTTAAAAGCTTTCAGTCCATGCAATAACAGCGGAAAAAACGTTGAGCATTTCATTTGTACTCGAACTGCCGCCCCGATGCGATTTTATTACACAGATATAAAGATTTTTCTGAACGACTTAATGTGATACCGTGAGATGTGAGAAAAAGTTTTCCCCCGTCCTTGCTAATCCAAATTCTCAACAACGACTTATGGAAAAGATGTTTAGTATGCTAGTTTCAAATTTGCGTAATAGTCTTTGACCAATCAAACATTGTTTAAGCTTATGGGTACTTAATACTGAAAATTCGTGGTGGCTCAAATTACGTGTCCGGAAGGAAATAAAGCACACCTCATAGCCCCGCACAAGGGAAACATGGACACACACATATCGCACTGCTAATACAATAGTGTTGTAACTCAAAATATGTGAATTTCAAGATTATACAATTGCTGAACGTAAAATTAGATTCTCTACACGTCAATATAAAAATGTCGTTAAAATATTGTAAGAAACAATTAAAAGATATCTACTTAACTCAAGAAGAGACAAGCTTATGTGAGCTAGTTCTGGTCAAAACAGTCCTTATTAAAAAATATCAAATTATATTTTCCTTTTTATTTTTAAATATGTTAGGCAAGTAGGAAATTGTGTAGATGTCTGTAATAAACTAACCTGTACACAAATTTTAATGATCTTACGCGGGAAGTGAGTAATCATTTTTTCATCGATTCTGAAAAATACACTATTTGAGTTAATACACTATTGTATTAACAGTGCGATATGTAGACAACCACATATTACACCAAAACCACACGAGAGAAATAAATGTAGGGGTTACAAATATTTCTCCCGACCCGGGACCTCTGCGTGGCAGTCCAGCTTGGTAACCCTTCGGCCACGGAGGCAATTAGTTCGTTATAATATAGTGGCAGAAGACACGGTAAAATACAAGCTTATATCTTGTTTACAGGTAATAATTACCCTTCCAATACAAGACCGTATACTTAACAATACCATGTATTTTGAAACAAAATTCAATCAAACGAAGTGGGAAATTTTTCGATGACACAACAAAATTCACAAGCAATCACGAAACAAACATTACAATGTTTATCTCGCGTAATCTTTGCAGTTAATTTAATATTTGTGCATGAATGTTCTTAAGAGAATATTGTTACGTTTGTACGCAGATAAATGGAACGTTTACCGAATGTTTTATATGTACGTGACATTACTATTACTATTTTCTTATCTGTGGAGGATTAACTAAATTATATTCTTACGTCGCTCTACCCAGTATTTGCGGCGACATAAATGCATTACTGTTCAATTGAATCAAAGCCACATTTGTAATGAATTTGATTTCTTATTAATTATGATTAATGTTGAAATATTCCAGAATCACCCAATTATTAAAAATATATATTTGTATCAACAAATAGCTGACTGACTTATATTTATTGCTATTTGTTAATTCTATTGAAATGCCTCTGTAGCCGAACGGTTGCCGTACTGGACTACAGCAGAGATCCTGGGTTCGATTCCCGAGCCGGGAGAAATATTTTACGTTTCTTTCTTGGATGTAGTGTGATTGTCTATGCGTGTGTCCATGGCACCCGCGACTCAGGTTTTCCCCGGTGTTATGAGTGAGTGAAAAAACAATAATTTTAAAGAATAATAAATAGTATCGATGGTATAATGAAAAACCACATGTGATCATATGCCAAATGTGCTTTTATCACATGAAAATAATAAAAATACTAAGAACTACATGAAAGTAATTGTGAACATATTTTATATAGTGAAATTTTATAACTCTTCTTTCTAACTCTTTAAACATAAAAAATATCTTTGGACATTTATCTATAATATATTGTAACATTTTTAAACACCTCTCCTGAAAAGTTGTCATTTTGCAGTTGTGACCTTCTTACATTAAGGCGAGGTGATCTTTACTTAAATAAAATTTATTTGAATTTATTTTATACACAATATAATTTACAGCCAAAACATTTACATGCTAAACATAATTATGTAGTTAAATTATGTTAAATTAAGTGAAATGATTTCTCATATTTTATTGGAGATTTCGGAAATTTACAAGAAGGGAGTTACAAGTTTGAAACCTTTGTCTGTGTAACTGTATGTCTGCCTGTGTAACTGTACGTCTGTCTTAACTACGTTCGGTGAACATCAGTACAGCCTTTTAAATATCATCAGTGGTTTTCCCAGTAAGTGTAGAGATGTCTGTGTAAATACTACATTGAGTTTTAAAGGCGGTAAACAAGGAATTACGAACGAGATAATATTAGAGTTTTCGGAGTCGAGTTAAGTAATTCCCGTACAGCCCGTGAAATACACAATCTTTTTCGTCACACTTGCACGTAAATAATATTATTGCATGTAGACTAACTTGGCTGTAATGCCCCAAATAAAACCCTCAGACCTTTTTTCTTCTCATACCAGCCATGGCAATGAATATAGAGTCAACGGCCGAGTCTAGAGAGCCAGCTTTTCTATATTGTCTCGGGTCTGGGTGTTTGTGGTAATGTCGTTGCTTCCCATTTCCATGGCACAAGTGCTTTAGCTACTTACTTTGGGATCAGAGCGGCGTATGTTGTCTAATATTTATTTTATTTTAATATTTATTAAAAGAAACAAAAAGTGACTTACACAATGCCTTCCAAGAGTTTCGCAGTGAGCAACATCACGTAACTTTGGCTGGAAGCTCCAATGACAGCTATGACAAATATGCCAACATTACCACCGGCTAAAAATATCTTCCTGCCAAAAGCATCAGTAAGGAAGCCAGTGAACATGCATGCACAAATTTGACCTGAAATAAGAAATGAGGGGTAAATTTGCAAATAAATCTACTTGCATGTCTGGAGGAACCATTACCTTCGATGTTCGAATTAGATAGATAAACACTTTATTCACTGACATAACACAAATACAGATTAGGCATAAAAGAAAAAAACAAAACATGATTGTCATAGCAGTGAAACGGCGCTGACTCAGCATATGCCAAAGTTTCCTAAGGCGCTGGTGGTCAGAACCAACGAGAGGGATTAAATTATTGGGAAAGCAAAAATATAACGACTATGAGTGAAGTTATACATTGACAATAATAATATACATAGTAAAGTGTAAATAGTGCATCTAAAATAACCTGTTTGACATGTAAGTGCATGAGCAAATGTGAATATAAGTTTCAGCTGTATGTGTGTGTTTAATGTTGTGTAATGTAATTAGTATTATAATATAATTATACACATAATAAGAATAGATCAAAGCAACAACAAAATTCCATTCTAGGCAGACTACGTTAAAGAATAAAAACACACTACACAGATTTTTGAAGTGAGAGTAGGTGCTGCCGGTACAGTGCTTTGAATTTGGGTTTGGATGTCTCGTTGCGTATAGGTGGTGGAATATTATTCCAGCACTTTGAGGCCGAGTATTTGAAACTACCTCGAAAAGCTGCAGTTCTATGTTGTGGCACCATAAGAACACATGATCGGACAGATCGCTCTCTGTAGCGTACATTAACACTAGATGACCACATTAGTTTTTCATAAAGATATTCAGGTGTTCTAGTTTTTACTATATCGAATAAAAGTCCTGCATACAGGAGATTTTGACGCGGCCCGATATTTAGTAGATTTGCAGCGCTGAATTTTTTAATTACGTTTTTTACCGTAAAAAAAAAAACAATTCCTTTTACTTATCCGAACGAGATTTTCAATCATTCAGTGTTAATTAACTAGTCAATTAGGATTTTATTTATACATTCAAGAGTGATATATTTCTCACAGAACAACAACACACACAATGCACAGAATTTGTATTTTTTATGGTACAAGTGACGGGAAGAACAAGTCGTCCGCCAGCTAGTATAGGTGTAGAGAGGCGTGCCTTTGTTTGTACGACGAAAAATGCGTTACTGTTATTAAAAATAGCTCACCTAAAAAAGGTATAGCATTAAGTAATCCTTTCTGCATCATTGTCAACTCGAGGTCACATTCTGCGCTTGGCAGTATATAGGAAGTCGTCGTTGTAACAGCGGTTGTAGCGTAAACAGACAACAAAGTTGTGAACATGAGTTTCCAGTGAAATAGACCAAATTTGCAAAGGACCAGAGCATCTTCAAGTTTTGCCATCGGATTGCCCGCGTACGCTTCATTTTCTGAAAAACAAAATTGCTTTTTGTTCATATAACAAAGCTCAAAGATAAAATTATTTTAACGTCACTCCGTTATATTAAAATTAACCTGATGTAATTAATTACACACACTTATAAAACCAATAAAGCCTACCTTTAAAATTCGGTAAAACATCTTTTTCGTCCATAGTGATAAAAATAATTCAACAATTAATAACTTAAACTTGAGCAACTTCATGTACAGTTTCAGTTATGTTAAGTAAATTATTTCGTTTCAATTTAAAAAACGGCTTTGCTTAATAAATTTCAATTTTGCTCTAGTCTACCTATTTCAATGAACACTCCTAAGAGAACGAAGACGATGACTGTCGCGTTTTAATATTTTATATGTGTACTTTTTATGTATGTTTGAGATAATTTTTAAGCCTAGAGTACACTTCTTGAAACAGTTACTTCCTTGGCTTTGTATTGAAAACATTGAAACGTGAACTCAACATTTGCTAAAACCTCAGTTAGGTGCCTAAAACTAAACATTCAATATACAATTGTAACATAAAAGAATATTCAATATCAAAACAATTTTTACTCTTTTAAATCGCTAGATTTCTCGTTTTAAAGCAAATTCACCGTTCCGCTTATGCAGGCCTGTATACCGTTCGCAAAACTGTGTTACAAAATTTTAACAAAAGCACACAAAATATTGTAAGATAACGTGCAGTGTAATACTTTGCAAACAGCGGAATCTTTATTTCTATCAAATAATCATGTAGCAAAGTGAGGGCACCAAATAAAAATATTTTTATAGCTAGAGTTGCTCTGGATGGATCCCCTGAGTGCTGTTACCCCAACATACGTCCTTCCAATTCTCGAGAGCATTTTTCTGTACGAAGAAAAACGATAGTAATTAAGGGTCAACTTTATTTATTGTCTTATTTTACTAAACGATATCGATGAATCCCATCGGATATACAAACGCAGCAAGTATCCCGGGTGAATAGTGTCCGAGGTGAAGCTAAAATGTTGATAATCGCGAGATGTTTCAGATAATATAAATTGTTTACTTTTGTTTTTGTGTGACACGTACTTACAAGAGCATTTTTAGGTATTTGCTTTAGGATCTTACTCTGTTAGTGGTACCTACACTCACTTCACTACCTGGTGTATTTGGCCATACGTCTCACTTTACTAACTGGCATATTTGTTACCTGACGTATCTGACAGTACCAACGCTAAATTCATTACCTGGCCTATCTGACAGAACCAACGCTTACATCTCTACCAGACTTATTTGGCATTACGTCTCACTATAATACCTGGCGTATTTGACAATACCTGCTCACTTCATTACCTGGTGTACCTGACATTCGTATCGTAACTGAGCGAGACGTACTATGCTACTCAGCTTCCAAAATAAATATTTTCTTGTAATTATTGACGAATTAGCATATTTTTCGCTTCTTCATTGCATGGAAGTTTCATAAGTTTTCATGTATCTTCTTTGCGCATAGCCGGCAACAAGTATTCCATCGCTAATATTGCCTCCTTTTAAATTAGGAGGAGTACATTACTGTATTTTCGTTACCGCTCGTCTCACTCATTTTCACGACGAGAATACAAAAAAGACGAAAAAACAGAAAAGAATACCAAAGCACTTTCATTTATTTTATCACCATTTTGTATTTTTTTTTTAGGTAAGTGGTATACGTAGGTATTTTTAATTCTCACAATTACTAACACTGGACAGTTGGCTGTATGAGTTTTTCCTTTGCTTATTTAAATAGTTCAGGCCTTTGCCGGGAAGAAGTCTCACGGTCCATATATTACCAACTTCCCGTGTTCGTTTTTTGAAAGTAATGTAAACATTTCCGAGCATGTTTGAGAAATAATAATTTAATGCTATGATATATTGTAATGGAACAATTTAGAATATTGTGATTTATGAACTTAGTCCTCCAACGTTGCTGCACTCTTGCAGGGCATAACATGTATACCACCAATCCAGTTCCATCTTAAATTTCTAAAATGTGATGTGTAAAAACAATTGAATTGAATTGTGTGGAACTTGGGCATATAAAATAAAATGTGGAAATAGGTATTTCTGAGATTCGTATTGGCTTTTACGTAACGATACCATACAAATGCAAACCATTCTCAGATAGGTATTGTGCACATAACGATACGAAATTGCATCAGAAACAGTGACACTGAACACGCGCCGCTCGCAAACAGAACAGATACGAACAATTATATTAACAATCTCGAATGAATAAGTCGCATTTACAAAGAATAGCTGTTTGAAAATGTATTTAAGTAAAATTTATGGAATGATATAGATTGCTTTTATGGTCTGATAAATCAGACATTACTCTTGGACATATCTAGTGGAACGCTAAACAAGGTTGAATTATGATAACAACGTTCTTAAGAACCACAGGCCAAGTATACCAAAACGTTTTAAGAAATGTTTTAAAATCATTTTCTTTTTAATTAATTAATATATTTAATATTCACAGGGTTCGCGGAGTAGTGAAGTAATTTTCATCACACTTGTAAACAATGTTGACTTTCATTCATGACATGATTTTCATTCAATTACCGCCCTAGAGCCTAATAAAGCCTATTAGGCCGAACGGTTTGTATGACCTACATTTATTTCTCTCGTGACTTTGGGAGTTGTATGTGGTGTTCTATATGTGTGTCCATGGCACTCGCAACACAGGGTTTGCCTAGCGGGGATATGAGTGTAAAAAACAGCGGTAATGTATTTTTAAAATTTGATTGCACTGTTCTTTTCAAGATTAAGCAAAAACTTTCTATGCTCGAAAAATCCGAATGTATTTCGAATAAGCTTGAAGAGTAGAAAAAAGTAAACATTTGCAATGTAACTATATTTTATTAAATTCATTTTATAAATTCATATTCTGCGGTATTTTTAGTATTTTGAAATTATTTATTTTATAACTAATACATCACGGCTGTATGTATTGAGCAAAAATACATACTCAACTAGAATGTTCGATTTGTACGTATTTTATGGATCTGCCTGGACATTGTTCCAAAAAAAGATTATTCATACTTACAAGAAATAAATTATCATCGTAATTTATTTCCTCGCTAATGTGTTGATAAACATTGTACGTGACACGGGCGGTAAAATATTACATATCGTCTGCTTAAAAGTAAAACCACATAAATGACATTTTCCACAAAAAATCTACAAATTGTACCTGTTGTAAGAAAATCATCATCTTTCTGCAGATAAAACTCGTATTGAGTTTATAGCTTTTTTGTTATTAAGTTTCACCTGCAGAACGATAGGGATTTTTTACTTAAAACTTAAATGTCACTTATGTGGTTTTACCTTTAAACAGACGATATCATTTACCGCTCTTATTTCACCATGTACCGTTACTTAAATTTTTAGATCTTACCTTGTTTAGATAGAGATCGTCACCTGACCGTAGCTTACTTATTTAACACAGGTCGAAATACGGTTAAGCCAGATTTCTAGAGTCCAACTATTATTACCCTAATATAGGAAGGATCTAAAGTAGAAAATACGCTTCATAAGGCAGATGCCTAATTGCAAACGGAAGCGCACAACGACTGCCGAAAACACTTAGATCAGCCGTTAATTACAAGAAAGAGTGTCGTCCCGAAAGACGATCGAGACGACTTAATTATCCGTCCGCGAACTTGTATTTCTGTACGCTTCAGACCACGCGCGATAGAGCGACTGTGTAACGAGGGCTATTGTATCGTTTTCGGATCATTTTTAATATTAGACGTTGGTAGGAAAAACTTGATCCAAGAAAAGTTTAAGAAGTGCATTAGAACAAGTTACAGAAACTTTATACGTTCAAAAGACCAAAGGCTTTATAAAAATAAAAATTCCTTCACCACTCAATAACTGCCGTATTTGGACGCGAGCAGCTCGTTAAGGAGCCTTATTTCCCATTCAGGCCGGCGGGTCTCGCAAAACTTTGGACCGCGACTGAATTTCGGCCCGACCCTTTATTGCCGTTAAGGGACGAGTACAAGAATTATAATATAAACGTTCGCACTTGTTAAAAACCGGTTCTGTATTTACCGAATCGAAATACGTTCCATGGAAAGGCATACAAAAACACAATTAACATTTTTATTATCAAAATTGATTTACTAATAATGATCGGGATCACGAAATCCAATCATCGGATAATCTATTTTTTTGTGGAAATATATCTCAATAATAATTGTCTGACGGACTGACTTCAACTTCAATCAGATTTTTTAGTACAAAAAGTCATATTTGACGTATGTTACCTTAAAAACACTAATTCCAAATGATTTTACTTCGTAAATGTACAGAAGTGTGCCCTTATTATGTACTTCAATTGCAATGTAATATAACAAAAAAGCTCAACGTAATACAATTGTGTCCTTTAGTTCTATTCATGAGTCAAATATTAAAAGTCACATTTAAATTAGTTATGCCCTATAAATGAAGTTATAATTTATTTGTCTACTAGTTTAAAAAAAAGCTAATTTAAAAACGGCTGATTCAAATACAATGAAAGTTTTAGTATAAAACATGTGATATGTATTTATATCATAAAAAGTACTTACGAGTCGATCGTACCTCTGCTCGAATTCAAATTCTTCTCGTACTAATACGATTCATTTTGTTTGGGTCAAGTGACAGGACACTGACTTTATTTCAGATTTAATTTTTTTACTAACGAAATTAAATCCATTTGAAAAATGTATATCGTATACTACGTGTGCTCTATTTACTTCAGTTGATATAAAAATACATAATTGGTATATGTAGGTTAGTATTGAATACAACGGTTTTCTTATAAAATTTCGAAGTTTGTGTTTTTTTCTATGCGAAAACTTTTAGAAATCGTATTTTCGCGCTGTATAGTTATCATATATCACTGCATATCATTAGTTTTACTGTATATTTTTTACAAAGTAATTGATTCATCACTTTCACTATTAGGTAAGCGGAATCAACCAAAGCCATTTAATTTAGTTTTATAGACTTTTAACGTCAAATGTATATTTTAACCATTATTTTTATCAGAAAAACCTAAAAAATGTTACATTTGTCTATGAATTTAGAATTTGCTACTTGTGTGTACTTCTTTCTTCCGAAGTCATTATTAATAAACAAACAACGGCTACGTAACAAGCACACACCTCAAAAATGGGAGGTTGAGGAGAATGTCGCCCAGTGATAAGAAAAATGCTTTTCTTCATCTAAATAAAACGTGTAGGTACAAGTACGGACAATATGCTGTCTGAT